CGATGAACACATTGTACTCGTCTTTCCTGTGGGATCTGAACGACTTTGTGAGTGAGAACAAGACTCAAGAATGGGCACACGACTAGCACAGTGTGCCTTTCTGAGATGCTCCGTGGGTTGTCTTTTGCCGTACCGCCGTCTCTCGAAACCTTCTGCGGCGGCGTGTGTATCAGTATGTGTGGTGTTAGTTTGAATGGGGTATTCGATCCATTATTGTTGTGCATTTTCCGTTTCTCTGTTTTCCTGTGGCTCTTGGGTGCTTTGTTGTATTATCCGGTTGGCTCCCCATCGGTTGCGATAGTGAGTCCATGAGTCTTTCATTCCTCAAACTCATTCGGTTGTGCTTTAGAAAAATATTTAAGATAGCGACAAAGGTGGTTTATAGGTGTCGAAAGAAAGTCAAAGTTTCAGCTTGGCGACAGTTATTTGAGAGTTTATGTGTTGTTTGTTGTTACTTGCACTATTCCCTTCAAATTTCTTATCGATTTCTTACGCTTCCTGCATCATATTTGGTTTTTCTTTTGGAAACTCATATATGGATATCTAAGAGTACGCCAATGTTTTGAGGAGGCACGTGCGACACGTGAAGTTATAGGTAATATCTTTTAAACAAAAAAGAATTAACTTTTATCGACGCCGGTGGGTCTCTACCTACTTACTTTCGCTGTTTAGCTCTCGCGCCCCTTCTTTCATTGTTGGGTTGAATGCTGTTTGGAAAACAATCGATTAAATCCTGCCTTTCCGTCATAAACACCTGCAGTGGCGCTCGTGAGGGGCATTCGATCTATGAAAGCGCATTACAACAGCACCTCGACCGCTGTGGCGTTGTACATCGTGAGGTACTAATCCCTAAGTACGATGTCAACAACGCCCTCCATGCTTACCTTCAGCAAGCGGACTGTTTGGTGGTTTGTGGTGGTGATGGAACGGTCTCGAGCGTTGCTAATGCGCTGGGTGCAACGCAGCAGGAGGAATTTCTCCGAAAGCCCATCGCTGTTGTACCTGCAGGTCTGCAGAACAGCATCGCTCATTCCTTCGGTATGATATCACCTGAACGCTCGCTATCAAGCCTGATCATGGGTCGGACGGACGCGGTACCACTGTGGGAGGTGCGTGTGAACACGGCGCCGTCGCTGGTACGCTATGTGTGCTCCTATGTGGCAGTAGGAGCGTACGCCAGCATCGTGCAACGCTTTCACCAACTTAGTCAAGTTGGTGATGAGTATTTTGCGCTCCCGATGTTGCGCCACAGGTTTCACGCCGCTGCGTTATACACAGCTTTCAAGCGCGATGTGGTGCCCTGCGCAGTGAATCTGAAAACGCACACAGGCCTGCCCTCTACTCAAAATGTGACAGCCATAGAAGGCGCAGGGATTTGTGTGTTGCGTCACAGAGGACCCTTGTGGTTGCTAATCGCAGCGCAGATGCCCCTTCAGCACGGTGGCTACTCGCTGACTCCATGCGCGACATACAAGCGGGGGACACTGAGCGCAACAGTCGTCACGCCCGAAGCGACGCGTCTGCGTATGTGGCACTTGCTGAGTCGTGAAGCCAAGGAAGGACACGTGCTGGAAGAAGATGGGGTGCACATTCATCAAGACCTCACTTACCTTCAAATTCATTACGACCCGATCCTTTACGGTAGTAGCGGGGCGCGTCAGGAGGGCTTAGATAAAGTTAGCTGCGGTGGCCGTGAAAGTGTCGGTGCGCCCTCAAAAGAGGACTTCGAACACTCCCTGCTTCTAATGTTAGATGGTGAAGAGACATGGGTGTTGCCTGGCGCAACAGTAACAATTCAGAAATCTACGCGATCTCTGAACTTTCTTGTATGTTAAAGGCAAAGGGAAGCGAGAGAGATAAAGTTCATTGCGCAGCCGATGTGGATGCGTCTAAAATGTTTTACCAAGCACCTCGAGAATGGGTGTGAAAAAAAATCGATTACTTATCCTGGGTGGCTTGCGGCGACTTGTGCCGCCCGCTGTCTTTTTATTCTGCCTATCATGGTAATGACGGTACTTCAAGGTGTTTTATCTCTTATTTATTTGCTTTGGAGCCTCTTAAATGAGAAACCTGAACGGAAAGTAAAAGGAAACTAATAAAAATATTCTTTTTTTTTCCCTTTCCCCAGCTGATTCACAAATTTAGTCTCCTGAAAGCTTATGCATCGCAACGATCCCAATGCGGGTAGCGAGTCTCCACCGCGGCGCCGTTTTCACCATGACTACGACGCAGAGGAATACGCTCCTCGCGTTAAAATGCATGGGCAACGCCCGGTGGACTTCTATTCGACAGCCATCCGCTATGTTCAAACGTGGCACTTACACAAACGCACCCCTTACGGGTACCACGTGCCGCCCCATGAATATTTCACCAAGGACCTCCTTGCCTGCACGGAAACCAGCTTCAATCCTTCCACTGCGTTATGCACGCAGTGGGCAAGCACTTCTTTTCATCCGGACGCACGGTCCAGTCGAGTGCGAGTTCCGCTCTACGCCCTCCAGTGGGCCGCCAATGGGCGGCGTCTGCTATGCTCGACTGGTCGTGGTGAATTCTTGCTCTTCAACGGGCGCTCCTTCGGACTGGAGGTGAAAACGGTGGCGCATGAAGATAGGCACCCGTGCCGTGCCCTCGCCTGGGGTGGACGCACCGATGTCATTCTCAGTGGTGATGACGCAGGCAAGATGAAGGTTTGGCGATCTAACTTTGTGCTAATGGCGGAGCTCGATTCAAACCACCGTGCCGTGCGAGAAATCACATGGGCCCCGCTGGAGGCGAAGTTCTGCAGCTCGGGGCAGGACGGCACGGCGCGAGTTTGGGATACCCAAACGGTTGGCTCCCGCGGCTCCACGGAGCAGCCGGCGCAGGAGGAGGTGAAGCTTGAGGGCCACGGCGGCGACGTGACCACCACGCACTGGCACCCGTACCGTTCCCTTATCGCAACCGGGAGCCAGGACATGCAGTGCCGGCTGTGGGACCCGCGGACAGCGGCCCGCGGCAGCATTGCGGCGCTCTGCGGCCACAGCCAACCTGTAACACGCGTGCGCTGGCACCCCGACGGCCGTACGGTGCTGAGTGCGTCGAAAGACGGAACCATTAAGCTTTGGGATATCCGCAAGACGCAGCCAGAGTTGATCCGCTTCAAGGGTCATAGCGACAGCGTAGACCATATTGAGTGGCATCCAGTGGTACCTGACCTCTTCGCAAGCTGTGGTGCGGATGGACGCATCATGTACTGGATGGTCGACGAGTGTGACGGCACCCCAACGCACGGCGTGCTGGAAGCCATCAAGGACGCCGCCACCATCGAGGCTGCACATGATCGATTTAGAGAGAAGGCAAACCCAGTCTTCACATTGGCGTGGTGCCCACTGGGAAACCTGCTGGCATCATGTAGGACAGAAGTAAAGTACTGGAGTCGTAATAAGCCTGGCGCGCTGGAGGAGAAAGAGAGGGGCGCAGAAGATGAGGATGTCTTGGAGGATGACATAAATGCAGTGTGATGAGGGTATTGTACCCTCTCTCCTACTGTAACTATAAAGGGTACATGTTTATTTTCTAAATGTTTGGAAATAAAGAATGAATTTGAAAAAAAAGAAGACATGGTTTGCCTTGCGCTATGTTGTCAAAGAGAAACGGGTGCACACAGCCTCCCTGTCCAGAATGAATAAAACGTCACTTTATCACCACCAGTTGGATTGTTAGTTGTAATAACAATACTACTTAAAACGAATCACATGGATTTAATTGTAGGGATTCTGCGGTACACACATCTGTCTCCAGCTGAGCTTATCGAGGACGATACCTTGAGTGTGGGGCAGCGGCATCACCGTTGGGTCGCTTGGTCTGTAGCGGAAACCCTATATTGCCGACAGGACCCTTTTAGCTTTGTCTTCGGACTCAGCGCCTTCCTTCCCGTATTCATTATGATTTTCCTTGCTGGGCTGGCGAGTGCGCCCTCCACACAACGGGTGCCGACACTAGTGCTGCTCCTTGGGCTGGTCTTTAACACGGGGCTGAACATTGTCATAAAAAAGGTCGTACGTAGCCCACGTCCAGCGCACCCTGCCGCGGCGTACAGTGTTTCCCAGGGTATGCCCAGCAACCACGCTCAGTTTATATGCTTCTTCATCGTGTATTTACTTCTCAAGGCCAAGCCCGGGGCGGCACTGCATGTACCTGGTAACCCTGAGTCTGCCAAACGGAGCAACTTATGGAAGAGAAATAGAAATGGTACAAAGGGTAATATGCCATCCATAAGCTCGAGGGAATCAATGCCCTTGGAGGGGCCCTCGCCGTGCCTGAGGCTTTTATATCTTGTGACAGGGACGGTGGTGTGCGTCGGGAGGGTGTACAACGGACATCACACTGTAGCACAGGTATTGGTAGGGGCATTGCTAGGGCTATGGATGGGAAATGTGTGCACGATGTCTAGTGTTCAACAACTTTTAGCTGTCATTGCGGAACGGTGTGTGGTGCCTATAATGCTAGTATGTATCCATTGGATCCAGTGGATCGTATAGATGGTAAGTTCTCATGTTAGCCTCACATATCCGAGAGGATATTGTGGCACTAAAATATATTGTGGAAGCTGTTTTATCGCAAATGACAGGTGTATTGAATCCCCAAGATGTTTCTTGGTAAGAATGCAATTGTCTTTTTCTTGTACCCTTCAGGATGTCGCTATGTGGGTGTCGTCATGTGGTGTGTTGACTTGATCTATATTCCATCTCCTTTCTCCACTGCCATCATGTCATTGGATGGCTATTTATTTGCTTCCCCTTTACTAGAAAGGTCTCGTTAACACATTTACACATATTTCCGTATTATTAACTATTCTCAAGCCTCCTCCCTCCGATAATCATGTCTTCAGGTAATTTCGCAAGACAGGTGCTTACGGGGCCTGGCCTCGTTGATTCTCTGAGCAACCTCATTATTCGACCACCTCGTGATGAATACACAGATAATGATCTGAAACAAGAGATATTAAAATTTAATGATAATCCTGACAACATTTTTTTTAGGCATGATATAGAGCTCCAAAACATGCGCGGTTTGACCATACAGTGCTCTTGGTATAAGCCTGTTATGCTTGATGAACATGGCTCACCTAAAGCTAAGCGGCGACCCTGTGTAATCTACTGTCACGGCAACCGCGGCAACCGTCTTAATGCTTTAGAAGCAATAAATGTGCTGGAGAGCGGCTTCACTCTTTTCGCATTCGACTTCTGCGGCTGCGGCAAATCAGATGGGGAATACATTTCCTTGGGCCATTATGAAAGACAGGACCTGGCCGCGGTAGTGGAATACCTTCGAAAGCAGGTCGAAGAGGTGAGCAGCATCGCCATCTGGGGTCGCAGTATGGGGGCTGTGACCGCCATCATGTACGCAGCCAGGGACCCTTCTATCAACTGTATCGTGTGTGACTCCCCCTTTTCTTCACTGAAGGAGCTCATTGACGATCTTGTGATCCAGTACACTGCGCCGGCTTTATCATGGGTTTCAAACTTCATTGTGAGTAATACTGTCAAAGTAATTCGCAGGAACATCGTCAAGCGTGCCATGTTTGATATCGATGACATTGACACGGTCAAGTTTGCTCGGGACTGTAAAGTTCCGACGATGCTTATACACGGCGAGGACGATGACTTTGTTCTCCCAGAGCACTCCAAGAGGGTATATGATGCTTTTAAAGGATTATGTATCCGTATGTTAGATCAAGGTGGGCACAATGATGAACGTGCTCTAGAAATTTACAAGAAAATTCTAGACTTTATCACTCAAAACACCAGAAATGAAGTGAAACGAGAAGGTGATGAACCGTGTGAGGATTCCGATATTAAAGTCCCTCCAATCCTCACGACGATTGCCGAGAGCTGACATTCCATTTGTGAGTATTAAGTTCTTGTTTAATTGTGGCTTCAAAAGTTGAAGCTAAGCAAAATAATCTATCCTCCAGCTTAAATCTTCTTTATCTTCATTTATTTCTCATACATCCCGTGTCACTGAGGAATGCAGTATTACAAAAAATTACAGACGCAAACGGTGGAGCAAACAGTCATAACAAAATCTAAATTATTTTTTGCTTCCTTTCACCTGCTCATGCAGGGATGTACAAAGGTATATGGAAAAGGAATGCTCATGTCGTATTTTCCCTATTAGGGATTGCAGTGTGTATGTTAATATTATGATATAGTTTACAACCCTTCATGTTCTCGAAAAATAATAACCATCTTTATTTCCCGATATCAGTTAACAAATTGTTTTTGGGCCCTATGTATAATGTATTCATTCAGCTACTTGCGCACTACGGATTCATCGACAAGGCAATTAACTTCGTTCTTTACATTTCACTAAACAGTGTAGAGCATAGGGCAGTGATAATTTACGTGACCTTTGTCAGCACTTGGAGTAGTGGCAAGTGGTGCTTGGGCTTCATTGCTTCTACGATATTTTTACTTTCTCTTCAGTTTATCATGTTACTTTTCACTCAGATAATGTGCAGAACCCAACGTCCACAGCCGGATGGGGTCGGATTGTGAAGGTGAAGAAGTATTGGATACAATGTGCCTCTAAGTCCTGTGCTACCCTTTCTTTTGGAACACTCCCCTCTCTTCAGTTGACGTTTTGGTTTTAGTATTAGCCCTAGTCTCTTTTCGTCTGAACAGCATTACGCTACAGGCCACTCGTCGTCGTTATCTATTGTCAAGACTTGTGAATTTTTACTTTCTCATGCTGCTCTCTAGTATTTTTGTTCACCAAATTCTAATTCATATATACAAAACTTGAACAGTTGGCAATTTATATACTGATTAAAATTTAATGATGTTTATCTATTTTATGGGAATATTGGGTTTTTTACTTTCATGCTTGATGTATTTCATTGCTATGATTAAATGTCTGTAGTAGTTTAACACAAAATTTTACTTTACCTACGTACAGATTCTTTTGTACCTTTCCATATAATGTTGTAACTTCACCGACTATATATTATTCATCATTTTATTCATTGGAAATTATTTAAAAAGGGATTCTGAAGAAACTCTGTTTGAATTCTTACTTTTTTTCACTTTTACTTATCACTTCGTTAAAAAAAAGATGGAGGAACGCTTTAATCAAAAGGAAATTGGAAAAGAAGTATTTACATATTAAGTTAAACGGGAAAAATGGGGAGTGTTCTTCCAAAGCCAATTCTTAGCAAAGTAGTGGAGCGCTCGGGCAACTCATTCGTGAACTCCGCCAGCGCATCCATGAACGGATTTCGTTACACCATGGAAGACGCGCATATGAATTGCATTGAGGAAAATATTGCGTACTTTGGCATTTTCGACGGACACAGCAATGAAAAATGCAGCCAGTACGTCGCCGAGTCTTTGCCGGCGAAGCTGAAATCCCTAAAGGAGCCCATCACGGCGGAGATGCTGGAGTCGGTCTGCGTGCAAATCGACAAAGCCTTTTTAGAGCGCCACAACAACGGTGGCTCCACCGGGACTTTCTGCATTCTTCGCAAGAATGGACAGCTCACCATCGCCAACGTGGGGGATTCTCGTATTTTAGTCGTGCGGAAGGGCACTATCATCTTCGAAACGGAGGATCATAAGCCGTTTGACCCAACGGAGCGCGCGCGGATTGAGCGTTGTGGGGGGTTCGTCACGGGGAATCGCGTGGAGGGGGATTTGGCCGTCTCGCGGGCTTTTGGGGATGCAATGTTTAAAGAGGTCGGGGGTAAAAACCATCGGGATCAAAAAGTTATCGCGGTCCCGGACGTGTCAGAGGTGAACTGCCAACAAGGCGATTTGGTTGTGATCTGCTGTGATGGCGTTTTTGAAGGAAACTTCACAAATGTTAACGTCGCTCGGTTTGTGGGGGAGCAGATGACAAAATGTTGGGATGACCTCGCGGTGATTGCCTGTCGGGTGTGCGATGAAGCGATTCGCCGCGGTAGTCGGGATAATATTTCATGTCTTATAGTTCATCTGGCGGAGGGCACTTCGAAGGTGCGAAAATTCGGCGCCAAATCATTCGTGCCGGGTCCGCCTTTTGCACGAAACCACGAAGGCTGCTATACTGCGTATGTGAATATGGCCAAACTCGCCAATCTGACCTGCTCCGAGGCTCTCCAGAAGCGATACATGTTGCTCCAAATGCACGATCGAAAGATGCTTGGAAATCAGCCCCCGGTGATGCGCACGGCGTTCGAGGTGAGCGATGATGTGGATTTAGATACAGAACGCAGCTTCTTCGGCCGGGGACCTGCCCCCGGGAATGAAAATGCTTTCTTCGCTGCACTCGCGCAATGGAGTGGGTAAAAGGCAAAAAAAAGGCAAATTGTTTAGGGGAAAGAAAAAAAGAAAGGAGAGATAGGTGGGGAGGGGGAAGGGAAGAAGAAAGGGGCTTTATTCTTATTAATGTTATATGCGGAATATGAAAAATAGCAAAATTGGATTTCAAGTGCAAAGACTGGCTCGAGGAGACGCTTTTAGACGTGTTCTCCGAACGAGTCATTAGCTCGGGTATTGCACAAGTTTTATTGTTGTGGGTGTACGCAATGACATTAGGTTAAGACTGGTTGGTGTAAGACAAACCCAAGTAACTGGCATAGGGGAAAAGCAAGTTTAATAGAGACTATAAGCCTGATTTTTCCACTAACCCATTACTTCTACTCTTTCCTGAGAATCTCGATTGGTCTTCGTTTTTATGCTTTGTTTAGATGTATGTAACCTTTATTTACGAGTTTTTATTTGAATGAACTAATCGCACATCATTACTACAGCTATTTTTCCTGTTGTTTTACCCCTTTTGTTCTTCATGTGTTGCTGACCAAAAGGGTGAAGTGTTAAATAAATATTATTTGATGAAATCACTTTTTTGGATAGTTGTGGTCATTGTATTTTCACCTCTATTATAGACTTTATGAATGGTATTAGGGATAATAGTATGAAAATAGGGTAACCAAAAAAACAACTGAAGCATACATGAAGTGAAAAGAGATAAACATTTATGCATATATTTAGTTATAGGTTGTATCCTGCCTATGTATATGTATCTGTAGCTTATATTTTCTTATAAGTTAATCCATTAGAAAAATACATATCCATGAATATCTAAGACCTCTTTCACTCCATTCCTATGCTATGATGCTGATATTTCTCACATTTTTTATGAACACGCCTAAATACTATTTGTCATAATTTTTTCATAGTATTCAATCCGCAGCAAGCAGTCAAAAGGAAAGCTAAAGCACTTTAATATTTTAAAACTGATGAAAAAAACACGAAAATGTGTGGTGTGGGTCATTGAATTTCGATTTTGGGTGCATTAGAAATATATTATGAGACGTATGAATATTGTCAAGAAAAACGTTAAACGAAATTCTCATCACCTCATCTCAAAAAAATTACTGTTACTTTTAAGGTATGCTCTGAATGTTTCGATTAGCCTCTAACCCTTTATAATTCCATATTCACTAGAATTATTATTATTATTTATACTTATTATTAAAGCCACTACTAGAAATAGGGAAAAAATAGTATTTTATCTATCCTTTTGACAATAATTTTATTTCAAGTTATTCAGAGTGGTTCACTCAAAGGGTGAAGTAATTGAAAGGCAAAGTTTCTGGATACGGAAAAACGAGACAATCGTAATTATATATTTATATATATATTATATATGAAATACCTTTTGAAATATGATGCTCACTAAGGAGGAAGGGCCGAACGAATTTGGCAATAAATTGTACACCTTTAACAGCACCTACACCCTCGAGTTGCCCCAACACTACACGGTATTGGAGGTGATCGGTCGTGGTGCCTACGGCCTTGTGTGCAGTGCGGTCAACTCCACCACCGACGAGTATGTGGCCATCAAGAAGATCAAAAACGTCTTCGAGTCCGCGGTCGAGTGCCGGCGCATTCTACGAGAAGTCAAAATCATGACCTTCCTGTCACACCCAAACATCCTCGGTGTGAAGGACATTTTCACCCCTGCGAGGCCACGGGCCTTTACCGACCTCTACGTCGTGTCGGAGCTGATGAAGCAGGACCTGCAGTCCTTGTTGCGCGCCCCACGCACCCGTCTCGCGGCGGGCCACTGCCAGTACCTCACCCTGCAGCTCCTCTTCGCCCTGCGCTACCTGCACAGCGCGGGGGTGTTACATCGCGACCTGAAGCCTAGTAACCTCCTCGTGGACGCCGACTGCAACCTGCGGCTGTGTGACTTCGGGCTCGCACGGGAGGTCGGGGAGGAGATGACGGCCTACGTCGTGACACGGTGGTACCGCCCGCCGGAGCTGCTCCTGGGCTGCCAGGAGTACAACTATGGGGTGGATCTGTGGAGTGTGGGGTGTCTGGCGGTGGAGATGATCACCGGCGCGCCACTGTTCCGCGGTAATGACTATATCCACCAGCTCACCTTGATCGCGAAGCTCCTCGGCCCGCCCGACTTCGCGCGCGAACTTCCCAACACCTCTTCGGGCGCACGGGAGTTCGTGACGGGACTGTCGAAACAAAAGCGCCACACTCTGCAGGAGGTTCTTCCGGAGCTGCGCTGCCGTTTTTTCGACACCGTCTTTTTTGACAGCTTCGAAAATGACGATGAAATGGCTGACAAACAGAACGCATTGTCGCCAAATGAGTATTATGAACTGTTCGATGACTTTGTTATGGGGTTACTGAAGTATAAACCGAGTGCCCGCTTAACGGCAAGCGATGCCATCATGCATCCATGGCTATCGGATATACGAGATGAGAGGCCCGAGTGGGAGGGCTTCAAAACCACCGTACAGTTTAAGCCGAACTACGACAGCTATGGTCAATTATCTATTGAACAGCTTCGGAATCTTTTTATTGACGAAATCAAAAAATTCCACAACCTCAACAAGAACAACAACTAGGGAGAAAATTAAAAATCGAAGCAGTAAGATATTTTCACGAAAATAGATCTGAGAATCCTATCCTATGGCTTAAATATCTTTACAAAACGAACACTGGAAATTCAAACAATGGTATTATGCGAAATCTATTTAAAGAAAAAAAGAAATGCATTAAGAAAATGTTTATCATGGAACTAATGATATTTCTTCATGTATTCGAGTCTTTTAGAGTCAATACCGAGTTTTGTAGAGTCTCCTTTTATTTGGTGATTAATTCCTTTGTTACGATCACTTGCGTTGGTATTATTTGATAGTTGCGTGTATGTGTATGGATAGTTTTTTTCATACGTTTGCATCGTTTTAAACACTAATTAACCCATATGATTCCATCATTTTGTCTATAAAGCAAATTGAAACTATGTTATTTATTGATACTGAAATTGGAATTGCGAGCTCTTTCCCATAAATCGTCATGATAGCATTTAGCAAACAATACGTATATTGCTTGCAGGCTAGAGAAAACAGTACCTTTAAAATATATATATACTTCACTATACTCACTATATTGCTCAACAATCTGCAAAGCAATCCCTTAACATTGGGATATATGTATACAAGAATGACCCATCTAGCTTAAGGCGGATGTTGCCCATCTGGTGCCTATTCGCTATGGCTAGACTTACTATCCTAAATCAAAAGTCCAAGATCTTTAAACACGAGGGTGTTTTCGTACAACTCGGTTGTGATTCAAAATCTCTTGAGCTATGTACCCTTCAACTTTAATAACTTCTGAAAAATGTGCATGGACACGGTTTGGTGGTTCGTAGTTATTGTTCTTTTTTTTTTTGTAAAGATGTCGATGGGTAAAGGAAATTACAAAGTGTGTGATAATCCTTCTAGTGGTTCTCCATAGAAATTAAATCCTCACAATTTCACCTGAGCTACCTCAAATAATGTTTATGGATTATTCACCCGTTGTTGATATGGATGACTATTAACAGCAAACTCACCAGAGTAAACCTTTATTTATTTGGATGCTGCATTTCTAGTGTAGCATAGAATACGCTATATTAATATTATTGATGAAATTATCACGTTTGTTTGTTTGCTCAATTACACATAATCAATACCTTATTAGTGTTGTGGAACAATTACAAAACCTTAAAGAACCATGCTGAAGGTTTTCATACGCCTTGTAAATTCTTGAAATATGCAGTGTTTGTGTAAGAAAAGGATGCTGGTATTTGTCCTATCAGTTCGAAGCATAAGTAGCTCACATATATTATACGTAGATCTATATATAGAACAAAAAAAAAAAACTATGAAGGTACGGAATTCTACAAAAAATGGGCCCAAAAATATATCGGTATTTCTCCGCGTCCGGCCTCCTACATCCAATGAGGAAGGTCATTCCTTTGACAACATCGCTTATGATCCTACCGACGGTCGTGTGATCAACGTAAAACGTATAACTTCTGGTAATCCTATTCAAAAGAAATACCTTTTTAATTGTGTTTTCAAACCCAAAACGACGCAAAAAGAAGTCTACGATGTTTTTGCTAAAAACGCTGTGGATGCTGCGTTTGATGGACTGCATGGGGTGCTCTTTGTATATGGTCAAACCGGCTCCGGTAAAACGTTCACCATTAGCAATGATGACGGTAAAGTTGAAAATCTTGGGATGCTCCAGCGATCTTTAAAAGATGTGTGGAATCGCATCGCATTGGACAAAGATCACGACTACAGTTGTATGCTCAGCTACGTCCAACTGCACAATGAAATACTAACAGACATTTTAGATAAGGATCAAAGTCGTGTGCGCATTCAAATGGGCCCGGAAGGGGCCGGGGATGTCATTTTGGTGAAGGAAACTACGGGACTGCCGATTGAAAAGCCCGTCAAAAACTACGAGGAAACGATGCAGTTGTTTGAATTGGGGATGAGCCGGCGGGAGATCGCGAGCACCTCGATGAATCAAATGAGTTCCCGCTCACACACAATCTTAAACTTTCTCATAAATAAATCGCAGCGAACGAAGGCGGTCGCGGTGAAAAATGAAAGTGAATTGGGGGAGGATTCGCGCCCGTCGTGTGTCGCGCTCGAAGGACGTTTGATTTTCTGCGATCTCGCCGGGAGTGAGCGGCTCAGCAAATCCCACGCCGATGGTAAAAATCTCGTCGAGACCACGCATATTAATGGCAGTCTTTTGGTGCTGGGAAAGGTAGTCCACGCGCTGACAGAAAAACTACAACATGCGCCGTTCCGGGAATCCAAGTTAACCCGCATTCTTCAGTATTCCCTAATGGGAAATGGCGACACCTCGATTATCGTCAACGTTAGCCCGTCCAACGAAAATACGGAGGAAAGTTTAAGCGCGATTCAGTTCGGCCAACGCGCAATTCAAATCAAACAGGACGCCCTTCGCCACGAAATACTCGATTATAAGGCACTGTATCTCCAGTTGATGGCCGAGCTCGACGCGAAGAACGACAAAACCCTCGAAAGCGCGTTAAAAGAAGAGCGCGAGGTCTATGAATACCAAATTTCAACCCTGAAGGATCAGCTTTCCATGTTAACTTCGGAAAATGCGATGCTGCGAGGGGAGAATGCCACGCTTCGGTCCGGATTACCGCCGGAAACGCTAAACGACACGTTAAAATCGCTCGGGGAGAAAGACTGGAAGGAGGTGATGACAAAGACGCGCGAGATGATCGCGAATCGGGATGAAAAGATCCGCACGATCGATGATGAGCGGATGAAGTTGGCCCTGCTCTTTTCGATTGAGCAGCGAAAGTGTTTTAAACTCGCGCAAAAAATGCAAGCCACGATCGAGCGCTACCAACACGCGTGTAGGGAATTAACGATTCAGGTGAACAAACTCCACGCCGAGCTGGCGGCGGTGAAGGGGACGGATTACCTCAGCCTGAACGCGAATAGCCAGGAAAGCCCCGCTTCCCCGGGAAGTATTAACTCGGAGCAGAATAGCTTTTTAGACGGGACGCAGGAGGACTTTGAAAAGCAAAATCGAAAGCTCCAGGCCTACCGTGCGGAACGAATTGAGCTTATCGTTTACCAATCAAAGGCCCAGAAAGCTATACGGATGCTGGTGGCCGAAAATGACGCCTTGCGGCGAAAGTACGGGGTTAGTAAAGTGCGTGATTCACCTTAAACTTGACCTTTTTAAATGCTAACTTGTCTTCCTTTTTTTTCTTGTTTTTGTATCTCCTTTTTCCGTGATTTGGAAGAATTGCCTATCGTCTTTGATTAAATGAATTCTGATATTAGTATATTGTGATCTTTTTAGGAGGTTACACTTTTTCTCTTTATTTACACATCAAGCAAGAATAGGTGATTTAATTTACTAGAAATACTTTTTCTAGCTTACTTTGCTTGCTATGAGACAGAATCGAAAGACTCAAAGATAGCATGTGATATTTAAAAAAAAAGGGGAGACAAGGAAAACGATATACTTAAGTTTTCCTTCTTGCTTGGAAAAATGTATATTGATGAAAAAGTGTCTATACGAAGAAAAGCTAGTCTAATGTTTGTTTAGTAAAAAAAATTGCTATGCTCTCTGTCTCGTGTGTATTTTTACCTTACTTCACATATTTTATGCCCATTGTTTAAAAAACTTGATCTTTAGTGAATTTTTTTTTGCTAAACTCAAAAATACAAAAATGTAGGAAGAAAGCATAATTTGCCTCAGTAAGTGAACTCTGGACATATGCTCGAATGTTAAAATTTGTATTCTAACTCATTATAGTTAAATACTATCGGTCAGAGGCAATTTATAAAAAAAGGGAGTTGTCATAACAGCCAGGATACCTGAAAATAAAAAAGGGAATATGTAGTCCTTTTCATTGGAGTATGTTCCAAAATAGTGTCTTACAAATTCAGGTGGAACGCTTTCCCTTTTTCGTGTGTATATCAAAGAAGCTAAACTTTCAGGTACAATTCATGTGTATGTAACCAACCATAACTCATACATATATATATAGGTATATATATATATATGTATATATTCACCTTCATTTTTTATATTTCTGGTTTATTGATCATACCATAGAGAATCCCAAACAACGTGGAGGATAAATCAAACGAATGTCGGCTCCAGCAATCGCCGTGTTTGCGCTCGATGTGGCCTGTGAAAGTGAATTTTCGGTCCGTCAGGGCTGCGCGCTGTGCGTTCGCGCCGCCCTGGACAGGATGATCCACACCCCACACGACGAGTTGGGGCTGGTCTTCGCCGGGATCGACAAACCCCTCAGCCGGCTTTGGGGAAAGGCCGGGGAAAAGAAAAAGGAAAAGCGGAAGGAATCCATCGTCGTCCAACACGATATTCAACCCCCGACAACCGCCCACACCCTTCGCCCCCTGCGGGAGCTGTCGATGCTTTTGCAAACCGGGGACCTCCCATCCCGCCGCGCGGGGTGCGATATGTTGGAGACGATAAACGTCTGCGCGGGGCTGATTGGCGCGCGCGCACCGCGAAAAGGGGCGGCCTCGACGATCTTTTTTATCACCGACGCGAAGGACGAGGTGGC